CCACTCCTCGGAAGGAAGGTTGGGCAATCCTACTTCCGTAGTGATACTGCCTCGGAAACCCAAGGAGGGGTCGCTATGAGTCAGGGCTGACTCGACAGCACATAACAACAACAACAACATGAAGAAAAATAAAGCAGGAAAAGAGGGATATGGAGTGTTTAGGGTGAGGGCAGAAGGTGAATTTTTAAACATGGTCCTTATCCTCATACTCCTCTCTAGAAAAAAGGCATTTTAAAATCTATGTATTTCTATTTTTCTAAGTATCAAATTATATTAAGAAAGGTACATTAAGTATAAAGTTTTGTGGCAGAAAACAGGTGGATAACCTCAAGGATTACAATTTTAATGAGACAACAGCCACTACTTAACTTTAAGAAAGATTACCTTACTTCTGTAAACCTGCTAGTAAACACACATAGATAGATCTTAACAATTTTAATTGGTGAAGCAATAAATTCTCTGGTAAAACTTGACACTTACCACAATGATCACCAATTAATAATGAAACAACATTAAAATCTTGAAAAAAGATTTTTTTCATGTCCTGTCTTGATTAGTTTGCTGAGTTTTGGGTGGGCAGAGCAAACCACTCTCCAATAGAAGGTAACACTGATATCCAGGTACATTCTACTTAAAATAAAAAACCAAACTCACTGCTACTGAGTTGATTCTGACTCACAGAGACCCCATTTGGGTTTCCCAGGCAGTAAATCTTCATGGAAGTAGATTGCCCAATCTTCCTTCTACGGAGTGGCTGGTGAGTTTGAACTGCCAACCTTCTGATTAGCAGTCAAATGCCTTAGGTGTTACGCCACCAGAGCTCCTTCATTCTAACAAAAAAAAAAAAAAAACCTAACTCATTACCCTCGAGTCAGATCTGACTCACAGTGACCCCTTCTTGGGTTTCCGAGGTGGTATCACTCCGGAAGTAGAGTGCCCTACCTTCCTTCCAAAGAGTGGATGGTGGATTTGAACCGCCAGTCTTCTGGTTAGCAGTCAAACAGAGGCTGAAAAACATTTATGTAGGGTTTTTTTTTCTTTTAAGAACTTTTACTGTAATGGTCAAACACCTCCCAGGCAAGCTGGGCTAGTCTCTGGTAACTTGAGATCTGTTACAACTTAGAAGGCTAGCTAGGCTCTGTGTCTAGGCAAGCTTGTCAAATCAAGCTTCTATCGGTTACTATACCAACCTAGAGTACCTTAGCAATTATTGTTCTAAGACAGAAAAGTTTTTCAGAAATCTCAAATACGCTCAAATCACTCATATTATGAATACACTGGACCAAGTATTTTTAACAGAAGGAATATTAGAAATTCTACTCCCAAAAAAGAATACCTCCATGGTGATGTGACAAACTCCCTCCATTAGCGAGGATTTCTTCTCTAGCAGCTGCCTGTATTTGGAAACAACACAATGAACAATTGCTGGATTTTCACTCTCGAGTAAAAGAGTTAAAACCAAAGGAAGCATGGACTTCCTTGGTTAAATAATAAACTAGAAGCTTATTTTTCGTCTCTTAGGTTAACTGTGTTTAAAAAGCAATTAAAATACACTGCCTAATTTTTAAAGTTTTTTTCTAGTGAATAGTTAAAATGTATATACAAAGACCACTTTCAAATTTCAAGGAAAAAAAAAAGCAGCAAAATGATTATGTGCATCAGATCACCAGCAGCACTAAATTATAAAAACAAAAGTTCTGTGAATGTGGAGTAAACTTCTCACTATACCAACAAGTATTAGTGACTAACATTTACTGACTGCTTAATGTATGACCAGAAGCATGCCAAACAATTTGCCTAGTGTATCTCATTTATCTTCACTAGAGCTTTATGAAATAGCTACAACCACTCCCATTTCACAGATAAGGAAAATGAAACTTAGATAGGTTACTCACCCAAGATCATTATGGGCCAATGCCTTGGGATAATTACATGCCAGTTCTATACATGATAGCCATGAGGTAGACTATTTAAGTGCCCTGAACCACACAGAATTACTCAGGTGTGTAAAAGCCATCAGGAGTTTAGGCCAGGGGAGGAGAGAGTTCAGGTGGGACAGAAAGATCACATCTCACTGCAAAGTAACCTATAACAATGCTTATCACTTAGGATATAGGGTTTTCAAATGAATCATAAATAAGCTAGTCTCTGCTCTAAGAGATTATGTTTTATAACAAATTATTTTAAATCATCATAGCAACACTTTCTTGAGGTCAGCAGCACTTAAAGAATGGCTATTTGGATTGAGAAAGGGAGTAACTTTACTCTTGTGGTACTGAAGGAAAGTGGCTTTTGGTTAGCCAGAGTGCAGCACCAAAACACTGCAAGGCTAAGGTGGCAGGAAAATACTCAAACTTTTGGAAATAATGAGTATGTTCACTATTTTTGATTGGTGTGATGGTTTCACACTTATACAAATACATCAAAACTCATCAAATTGTACACTTTAAATACGTGAAGTTAACTGTATTTCAATAATACCTCAGAAAAAGCTATAAAATGGTGGGGGAGGACAGAAAGGGGCCAAATTCTGTGAATACTTTAGGTCTAAAGCATGCCACTGAAAACCATCTCACAGAACTATCTTTGGCAGGCATTCAGTGGAGCGGAAAACATGAGGACCCGAGGTTTGAACAAACTTCAGTCCCTATGGGGCAGCTCTGGCTCCTTCAGAATCTAGTCCATTTCAACTCTAGGCATACTTGTAATGAGAAACACTGGCCATCAATAGATGGCTTTGTAAAAGCAGCTCAAGACCATTTAGGAAAATTAGTAGAGATTACTAGCAAATGGACCTCAATGGGCTATATGGAGCTTTAGCAAACAAAAAAAATTACAAGCCTAGAATGATGATATTACAGCAACATAGATCAGACATTAGAGCTGATGACCTCAACCACAGCCACCGCCTGGAAATGGTTGGTCTGCCAAAGTGATAGCAATGATCTGTATACTCCGTTGTTATTTAATCAGCTATTATGCTGATGTAAGTTAACAATCAAAGAATCACTGTATACAGGTGTAGAGGATGTTAATTTTAATACATAATCCACTATGCAAGCCAGTACAACAGTACACTTCTCATTTCTATGGGCTGGCAGCCAGGAAAACCATGTATAGTCAGAGAAAGTCCAACTAACATTCGTACATCAATATTACAAGTTTATTTCAATTTATAAAAGAATATAAGAGCTATACACATGTATGCATAATTACCTCAGTTTGTTCAAACACAGCCAGTGGGTCACTAATTCCCCTGTAGTTAAAGGCAAAATAGAAGTAGATACATGCACCTGCATCATAAGTCTGTGTCACCCTACAAAAGAAACAGACAAAATCCCCAAAAGGGCTTTAACTTAAGTAAAATCAGATTTAACATCTAGAAACTTAAAAGGTAAAATCATTTGAATGATTTGCTTAAATGATAATCTCATTCCCTATCCAGCCTCCCTCTCTAATAAAGGAATGAAGATTAGACATTTCTCTTAAAGAACTGTGGCCAAAACAAATAAATTGAGGATGCAGTGGGAAACAAAAAGATTTTATTCATTTACGGAAAGTTTAGTCAATTACAGGTATATATTCAATCATTCTCTTAACTGCTTAATCCCATGTCAACTGGGAAATTAAAAAAAAAAAAAATTACATATTTTATCAGCAACACTGCCATCTCCCCCAACCATATCAAAGTTATCTAGAAGTAACGGGATCTATTAGCAGCATGTGTGAAAATGCACTTATTATATAATGAGATAAATGTACTGTATTATATGTTTTAAACTAATCAAAATAACATTACAACTAAATGGTAAAAGGTGTACACTTTAACAAAAATATGGCAGTAAAACTGAAAGAAAAAAATCATATCTCAATAAAAGTCATGCTGTAAGTTTTTTTTCCCTATTTTCTTTATAATTGTGATTTGGGTGAAAGTTTACGAAGCAATTTCATTTTCCATACAACAGTTCATACACATTTTGTTTCATGACATTGACTGCAATCATCATGATGCAACAGAGCTCTTTTCCCACTTCCTCCCTTTGATTACCCTTTCCCTGTGTCCTTTTCCATGCATTCCTGCCCTATGCGCTATCTCCCTGTGCAAATACTGCCCTTCTGATCTTCCATGGTTGATTGTTCTAAGCAGTGTACCTACCTTGTGTAAATGTTCATTATACACCTGTCTAGTGTCTGGCTGGAAGCTACAGGAGTAAGTTCAATTCCAGGCCCAAAGGGTCCCTAGGGGTCTTGGTCTCAGGGTTTCACCAGTCTCTGTCACACCAGTAAGCCTGTTTGTTTTTTTTTTTATAGTTTTGAGTTTTGCTCCATATTCTTGTCCCACTTTATCCAAGATCTCCTATTTGTTCCCTTTCTGAGTGGCTGACAGTGGTAGCTGGGAACCGTCTAGTTCTTCTGGTCTCAGGGTCATGTAGGTTGAGATCTGCATGGTTCACTAGTCCCTTGGACTAACTGTTTCCATATGTCTTTGGTTTTCTTCATTCTTCTTTGCTCCAGACAAGGAGAGACTAATTGTTGCATCTCAGATGGCTGCTTGCTAGTTTTTAAGACCCCCATTGCCACTCTCTTAAGTAGAATACAGAACAATGTTTCTGTATAGTATGTTAAGGCAATTGAGCTTGATATTCCCCTCGACCACAGTCCCAAGCTGGTGAACCCAGTGACTCACTCCCTCAGGGTGTTTGGCTGTGACTAAGAAGTTAATCATAACTTTGCTCCATTAGCTATAGTATATATACCACATAATAATGCTGTAAGGAGCTCTGGCAGCATAATGCCTAAGGCATTTGACTGCTAACCAGAAGGTTGGCAGTTCAAACCCACCAGCCACTCCTCAGAAGGAAGGTTGGGCAATCTGCTTCCGTAGTGATACCACCTCAGAAACCCAAGGAAGGGTCGCTATGAGTCGGCTCTGACTTGACAGCAGTGAGTGAGTGAGTGTTAATAATGCTGTAACTTTTTTTTTTTTAATCTTTCCCCTTTTCAATTAATTTTTTATACAATTAGTTCTTCATGTAACTGGCATGAGATAGCATATGAGGCACATTCATATGCAAACAGTTCAACTTCATTATATTTCAAAAGCATGTTTTCCAGTCAAACAAAAGTGATAGGTCCATATGTGCAGAAGTCAACTAATTTTTGTATTGCTACAGTAAACAGACATGACACAAAATGTCTATCTCCTGGGGGGGGGGGAGTCCCTGGGTGGTACTTTAGTTAGGTTGGCTGATAATGAAACGGTTGGAGGTTTGCATCTACCCAGAGGTACCTTGGGAGAAAGGCCTGGTGATCTACTTCCCATAAATCAGCCAGTGAAAACTCCCTGTGGAGCACAATCCTCCTCTGACAACATCAATAGCTACTGGCTTCCTGAGGGAGGCAATATTAGACTAGAAACAAAAAACTTGGTTCTAGTTATTGGCCCCATCACTGCTGAGGAACATGGCCATGAAATACATGGAATACATATGAACATGCAAACACTTGACAAGATCAACTGACAAGATCAATTTTCATTATTTTAAAAATGTGTATTGATAAAATGTGAGCAATTACAATCTTTTCAAAGTATATTAAGTGCTCTGGCAACAATTCTATGAACTTGTCATTTGTTTGGATTCTCCTGGCTCAAAAGACGTAAAATGTTCTGGGCAGAAAAAAGTAAATCACTAAAGTTGGAGGCCAAAATAGAGTCTCTTCAGTCCCTATAAGTAAGAAAATAAATGACTATGAAATACAGGCAGTCCTCCAAGTTACAAATATCTGACTTACATATAACCCACAGTCATGAGCCAACCTCTATAAAGCCTATTATATTAAAAATTCAAGGAATGTACAACAGTTCATAATAATAAATGGGTGCTACTTTGCAACACACATCAAAATATTGTAATTATTACTGTATTAGGTTAAAGATGTTTTAGTGTATTTAGAAGTGTTTCTTTAATGCTTTTAGGCACAGAAATGTACACTATATAGTATATACTAAAAAAAACTGGATTAACTGACATTAGAAATGAACCATACCTAACTCGACATACAAATTCGACCTAAAGGCAGATTTAGGAATGGAACTCATTTGTAATCTGGGGACTACCATCTCAGTAACATTTTTTTCTACACAGGTAATTTAAATGCACTAGAAGATAAAACAAGATGAAGCCTCAGGATGTATGATGAATAAATGAATTCAAGAATGCTGATAATTCTGGGTTCTGTTTAATAAGCCATCTGATAATGTGCTGGACACCCTCAAAAGGACAATATAAAGACAGACAACATAACAGCTTTATGCAGTTTAAAAACAAGTCTACAGTCATGAATATACACAGCTTTGACAGAGGGTATTTCCACATATGTATTTATATGTGCTGCATATATATCCATGAATATAGCAGAGCATACAGGAGGCAAAGTTATAAAAACTTCTTAGCCACAGCCAAATACCCTGAGGGAATGAATCACTGGACCTGGGAGCTCAGGACCACAGACCCAGGGGACACTAAGGTCAACGGGCAAACAGAGTCCGCAAAGACAATGTTCTACATCCTACTTTGGGGAGCAGCAACTAGGGTCTTAAAAACTTATGAGTGGTCATCAAAGACACAACTATTGGTCTTTGCCCATCTGGACCAAAGAAGAGTGAAAAAAAAAAAAACACAAGAAACAATCAGTCCAAAGGACTAATGGACCACATGAACTCCAGCCTTCATGTCCCTGAAACCAGAACTAGATGGTGCCCAGCTACCACTGCTGACCTCTCTGAAAGGGATCATCACAATAGGAGGTCTTGGGTAGAGTGAGAGAAAAATGTAGAACAAAACTTAAAATAATAATAAAAAGACCAGGCTTCCTGGTCTGATAGAGACTGGTGGGACCCCTAAGACTATGGCCCTCAGACACTCTTCATGTCTGGAACTGAATTTACTCTCATGGCTCAACTTACAGCCCAAAAAGAGACAGGCCTAGAAGGGGAACAATAACACCAGGCAAGTATCAGTGATTGCACTCATTAGAACAATCAACCATATGAGATCAAAAGGGCAGCATTTGCCCAGAGATAATGTTCAGAGGGAAGGAAGGAATAAGAAAGAATAACAAAGGGAAATTGAAAATATAGAGAAGAAATAGGAGGAGTGCTGTTACTTTGTAGGGAACTGCAATCAATGTCACAACAAAATGTGTATGTATTGTTGAATGAAAACCAAGTGCTCTGTAACTTTTCACCCAAAACACAAGTAAAACAACAACAATAAACAAGCCTAGACTATAGACTAAACAGAAGGATAATGCTAAGGTAATGTAAGGTACAAATGTAAGGTAATGTATCTGACAGAAAATGTTAAGATGTTGGTTCTAGGTTAAGAAAAGTGCCATATTATCAAGCTATAAGATAGATCAGCCAAGAGATAATGGAAGGAGAGTAAAAAAGCCAGGCATCCAACAATAAAGGAAGTAGATGGGTACACAGGAGATGGAGAACACAGAGTAGGGAAGGATGAAATAGTAATAGCCTAATTCTGATGTCAGGAGTAAGAAAAATGAAAGAATTTCAGAAAGAAACCAAGATAAAGGAGCAATGGTTAAAAAAACAAACAAACCAAAAAAACCGCCTGTGCTAGCATGTGAAGACAGAGCCTCACTTAGCACAAACTCTGCAGCACATAGTCTCTATGTGGCAAAGAGTGATCTGTTACTCCCTCTCCCCACATCTCATGTCTTTTTATACACCATTCATACTGCCTGCATTACTGACTTTTCCTAAGTATGGGCACCTTCTCTCTCTTCCTTTTCAAAAACTACCTTCCTATGGGGAACGGACACAGAAACCAGGAGTTTGCAGTGGCCAAATCTGGAGCATTTTGAGTAACAAAGAAACTAATGAGAATAATGGATATAACCCAGAGAATAAAATGCTGTGAGTTCACACTGATACAAATAAAAACAAATAAACAAATAGGTAAATGGGGAGATGGGAGGGTACTTGTATAGTAGGATTTCAATTAATAAATGAAGAAAGAATGATGAAAATACAAAATAACCATTTGTAAATGCCACAATTATAACTGTTGAAAGTAAGAATCATCAAGAGAAAGTTGATATTTGAGAGACAGCATGACAGAAAAAAGGTATTTTCACAGTCTCAAGTATCTCCCCACAAGAAACTTACCAAGTATAATGGGAAGGACCTGTGGTAGCGTAGTGCTTAAGGCACTTGACTGCTAACCAGAAGGCTGGTGGTGCAAAGCCACTAGCCACTCCTCAAAAGGAAGGTTGGGCAATCTACTTCCATAG